GGGGGGGGGGGGGTGAAGGGGGGCGCTTGCCCCCCCTTGATTGACTTATTAACATGAAAAATTTCATCACCACAGCAGTAAATTGTATAAGTGTTGTGAGCACGCATTGTGCATACACAATAGAAAATATTAGTGACCCCCCTTTTTTGAAATAATTTTAACCCTGCCCCCCCTTGTATAAAATCCTAGATGAAGGCCTGCATAATGTGTGTCTGAGTTTAAAAATTGACAAATAAATATATATGTAGTATATAGAACATATACATTACATGTAGTATTCATGTAGCCTCTTAATGTTTTACATTCTTTTAGTTGAATGCATATACAGTCATTTACATGTACAATGTACATTAATTGTATTTATTATTCCTATTCTTATTAATTGTGTGTGTGTTGTTGATTGGTGTAGGTGGATATTTGCATACAATGCTGTTGTTGGTGAGGTAGTGAGTAGGAAGCTAAGCATGAAATGGGAACGTATCAAAGCACACAGGTAACTGACTGCTAAGAGAGGTACAGACACAAGGCGATAGTTTGAAAAAATAGCAACAATTCTTTTAAAAATTGAGTGCATACATGTACATGTAAATGTTATGCTAATTTGATATTCTTGTTTTGTAGGGAATTGTGTAAAAAGTACACTAAGCTTTATGCTGAGAAGCTTTCATCAAGTTCTCCTGGTGCTCCTCTTGTTGCTAAGCTCCTGGTAATAATACCGTTTACATTGTACATGTATAGCCCATGGTATTTTCCAAAAAATGGCTCCAAAATCATCCCAAATTTTTATTACATTTTCTGATACATATTGATGTTCTTATGCTGTGTAGAAAGTTTGAGCTCATTCGGACTTTAATTTTTCAAGTTATGGCTATCTTAAGAAAATGCCAAATTTTTGAAAAATACCCAAGGCTATGCCCATGGTATTTTCAAAAAAGTGGCTTCGAAATCACCCCAAATTTTTATTACATTTTTTGATACATATTGATGTCCTTATGCTGTGTAGAAAGTTTGAGCTGATTCCGACTTCAATTTTTCAAGTTATGGCCATCTTAAGAAAATGCCAAATTTTTGAAAAATACCCAAAGCTACATGTATTAATGGTGCTTTGTTTACCTTTACATTGTGCTACTGGTGTAGGATATTGAAGATATACTTGATGTGTTCAATATTACTGTCTGTAGACAAAAAGCTGAGAAATCAGTAAGTTACTGAGTTAATACATGTACATACCTATGTATGTAATTTATGCATACAAATACACATGTATGTATTTTGCACACACAAATACAATACAAATCACAATAGAGTACAAGCTTTTTGATACAATTTTTGTAGAAAATATTTGATGAGCATCAGTAGCAATACATTTCTTTTTTATAATAGTCATGACACATGTATGTATACATATATTTGCTCATAGGCTGCTGATTTAAAGAAGAGAAAGGATGAAGCTTCATGGTACAACTGGGCATCAAGCTGGGTTGGTGGGGGAGAGAAAGAAAAG